CCGGCCAGCGAGCGGGTCACACTTTGGCAAGGTTTTACTCAACATATGAAGTTGCCATTTGATGACTTTTGCCTGCATGTACTCTCCAGCCCGAGAGCTGCCTGACTCTGGAATTAAATGGTAGCCCTTTGGTAGCCAAATGGGAAGACCACCCCCGTCCCCACCGCCCTAACGCGCGGGAAGAGGTACTGCCTGAAGTTGTCCCAAATGAAAAGGATTAACCAACAGTAACGTTAATGTTACATGCCACCCATTTGAAAGCATTAGCTATATCCCAGACGCCTGGGAATGAGCTTCAAAGGTAATTTTTTTTAAAGCCACAACAATGGCAGCTTCCAAAATCAAGTAAAATATTTTCCAGCTTAATTCATGCTACTCCTATTCCTAGTTAGCTTAAAGAATGGCAGCAGAGTGCACTGGAGTTAGTCTTCAAATAAATGAAGTCTTGCAGAGCAAGTGAACAGTTACTCCACCAAAGTGAAGGTGGGGAGGAAAGGAAGGGAAAAAATCCCCAACAACGTAAGATGGGGAAAGGACGTCTCAATTTTCACACTTAGGAGAAAGCAAAACCACAAACCTATTGAAAAAAGGAACCAAAACCCCCAGCCAAATCAAAGAAGAACCCCGCAGATAGTAGGCCAGGCACTGCTGCAGAGAATATTCCTGATCCATTAAGTACAGGAATACTCAATACCAATATCTGCGATTAAAGATTCCTTTTTTTTTTTTTTTTAAGGAAACAAACCACCGCATACACACGCAGCCCCGCACACACACCTCTGCATTCCTCCCACGCAAACTGGAACAGCATTTACGTTGGCCAGTGACCACAGGTGTTGGGAAGAGCCATTGGGGCAGGATTACACAGAATGCTTCACCCCTGCGTGATTCGTTACTACCGAGGCGGGGGAAGAACGTCCTGGCCGGCTGACAGAGATGGCTGAAACGCTCCGCCGAAACTCCAGCAAATCGATGCAAGCTGGCTAGTGCATTCGCGGGGCAGGGTCCCTGACAAACTCCGCATGGACCCGCGGGGTTTCCTGAACTGCGTGAACTCTGCACAGACTCAACTGGTCTGCAGAGCTAATATTTGGCAGGCAGCTGTTGCTTCTACCCGTTTAGCAAAGCAGATGAGTGCGAGTTATTTAGTTGCTGTCAATTTGTCAGGATATATAAAAATTACACCTCCACAGTGACATCATTCGAAGCTAACCCCGAGGTACCAAACACAGCACTGTGCGCTTCTCGGCCTTAGTTTCCAAGTGCATAGAACCTAAAGCTGTAGGATTTGGTAACTTCGCGCGATCTTTCTAACCAACAAGTACCATCTACACCAAAGAGCACCGTCAGCCAAGCACTGTGACTCAGGAGGTTTCACCTGCATTCTGGGGCAGAAAAACGTGATCACACTCCTTACTGACGGAAGCCGCTGCACCCCCTGCGAACGAAGGATGCGCTTTTTTCCGCTGCTCTCATGCTCCTCATCTGCAGCTCGTCTGCCCTTGCAAGGGCGCCGGTTACATCCAGCTTCGGCGACAGCGTTTTCTGGGCGAACCGCCACCAAGTCCTCAGCGAGAGACCAGCACCAGTCCTGACAGGAGCGCTGGCGAGGGCGGAAGAGATCGGTAAAAGCGGGATTGCTGTAAGATCTGATCAGCGTGGAACCAACGGGCAGGTCGCTCCGCCAGCGAGCTGCCTCGCGCTGGATCTCCCTCTCCCGTAACGGGGATGCCGGAGCACAGCGGGGTGAACTCCAGCACGCCTGCACTGCTCCGAGGGGGTCCGCACACGACTGCCCGCGAAGGCCGAACCGCTCCTTAGGGCACACTCTGAGGGGCGGGGGGAGATGCTCTTCCTAGGGCTGCCGGTTAAGCAACTTCATCAGTTCGCTTAAATTTAAAGCAAAATTTTTAAATACGAAACTGCCAAAGAAGTTTACATGGTATGTAAATGTTCATTATGCCAACATGCAGCGGGGTGGTTGTTTTTTAATCAGAAACTTCTTGCATTAATCTATTTTTACGTAAAGCAGCAAAATGCTTTACCCCTTAACTCCCACCATGCTCACCTACATTGATTAAAAATAGCTTGTGTGACAAAGTAATCACCAGTTTCTGACTTGGTTTTCTCTCCCTATTAATCTAATTAAGAAACTGGTAATATTTAGCTATTTATAACCAGCAAAGTCTCCATTTTCAAAGGTGAAAAGCCATGAACTGGCATTCAAACATGAAGTATGCTTGAAGCTGAAAACAGAAACATGAAGGAAATCACCTAGATGCACCGTAACCCCCTATCTCCAAGTTGCAAACGAGCAGCCAGCTCCAGAGACTGCTCAGCTTCTGCGGCACTCCACAAAAATCGAATGTCGTCTTCCTCAACAGACACAGCACTAACTGCTGGGTGTTTATCTCCTACGACTTAGAGGCTACAGGACATCAAATCTCTGTTGGAAGCCTTTGGTACCATCTCACCTCACTCGCTTTTTTGTATTCCCACCATTCAACGGGCCAAGAGACACACAGCTTCAGAGGCTCGTGCAAGAACAGCCTAAGCACCGGGATCAGAGAACCAGGAGACGTTCCTGCACCCATCTCGACTCTTGATAAAACATCCTGGTTTAACCAACCGAACAAGGCTAACAAATGAATTCCAGAGTTTTTGACTGACAAGAGCACAACTACTGCACTTCGGAAATGTCAAGCGATTATCAAATTACCAGAATTTAAAACCAATGTATTCTACAGAGCATCTGGCTGTATTTGTACACTGTTACCTATCTTTATACTTAAATCATAGTGGATGTATTTCTCTCAGCTTCAATCACTCTAAAACTTTTTTTTTTCCCCAAACATCTCAAACCTTGAAAGTGCAGGACTGCACGCTTAAAAGTTACAACTCTTCTAGCACATGATAGCAAAAAAAATAGACTTGATTTGTTTTAAAACTGGTAGAGAAAGTCTTAAGGAAATCCTCCCATTATTAATATTAAAAGAAAAAACCACCTGTCATAAAATGGAATAGAGACAACCTGATGTAGTGAATCGAAAGTGCCAAGGAGGCAGAACTCCCACCTGCTAATAATGCAGCAGAATATATATTCAATGCTCATTTCTATGGTAACTACTATTGTGGTGAGTAGATGTTTGAGAAAGTACTTCAACGTGCAGAAAATAAAAATGCAAACTTAACTACTGGAAAGACCTGATGTATTAGCACGTATGGGTTATTAGTTTTGTTAAATTTTACTACCTAACACACAAAAATCACCATACTGGAGGGACATACTGCTGTATTACTGCACTACAGATTCCTGCATAAGCATTTCTTTGTATCTATTAACAGTATGTTTCATTTGTCCTTTTTATTGTCCAGTCAGCACAATGACATCATCCTGCCTTTTCTTCTGTTTTTTTTGTTTTGTTTTGTTTATTTCATTTTGGTTTTGTTTCTTTTTTTTCTTTTTTCTTTAAATTAGCTCTGACTTCAGTGATGTTGAATGTGGTATCTTGGTTTCCAAGACCTTGTCAAGCCTTTCATAACCAGCTCAGGTCCCTGCACAGACGTGCGAGGAGGCCCTTTGGTGACGAGCTGCTGGATGTTCCCTTTACGGATCTGCGTAGTGGGTGATTTCCACTTCCAGCACTCCTGATCCAGTCAGCACAGGAGTCCCTCCAGGGCTTTCCGAACTATTCCGTCAATTTTAATTTATGTGTCTTCCAATATTATCACTTAAATTTAACACCTTCATTCCAAATAGCTACCCAAACACCGCCACTTCAAAAAAGGAGCCTTTCCCTTGTATCGTCAAGTCCAACACCACGTACAAGCCAGAAAGGCACTTTTCTAGCAAAAACCCACCTTGTCTCGACAGTAGTTTGAATAACTGCACCATTAACCCACGCCACTGCAACGCCACAACCGCCTTCGGTCACCTTAACCCGCTTTACAGGCAGAGACAGCTCCGAGATTGAACATCCAAACAAAGCACTTAGGAGCAAACACGCTCTGAGAATTCTATCAAGACGCGAAACACCGGCACGCTGCCGCGGCAGCGTTCTGCACGAAGGAAAGGCCAACTCGGTGGCTCAGCCAAGCGCCCCAACAGGCTAGCGACCCCCAGCCGTACCTGTTTATGAGGACCCCTGAGTATATGTGCCTTGGCGCCTTCACAAGCCGTCCTCATCGCTTCCAGCGACGGTGTTCCCAGCAGGTCTGTGATCAGATCCAACTGCAGGTACAGAACATACACATTTGAGATCTTAGACACACAGAAATACATTTCACTACGTCAGCAGATTCTTCAGCCAACGAAAATTACATTTAAGGCATCAATCAGTTCTAACCCACTATTTTACAGGTATAAATTACAAACACTAACGTAAACATTTAGTAGACAGCAAATGCAAACATTTGTAATTTCACTGAGAAAGCCCTAACAGAAGCTGACTTTCAAGTCCGGGAGCTTTTTTTTGTTTACAGGTTTAGTACAATATTCTGTCGCAATTTAAAAGACCATTTTACACCATTAAGAAAATCGTTAAGTATTGTTCGTGGTGTGTTACCCATTCTAAACCCCAAATATTCTCAATTGAACATCAGCGTTGCATACCAATATACCACACAAAATTACTTCAAAAAACCAGCTCAACTACTACTTACACAAAATATTTTGCCATCAAACAGGAATAGAAAATGGGGAAAAAAACCCCTCTCAGAATCACAGTACAAACATACTATACAAAAAAATCCAACATATGAGAAAAATAAGTTAAAAAAAACCCCCAAATCTGTCCAGTACCAGAGGAAGGAAAAGGCGTGGTGCTGGTTATAAGGAAAACAAAAGCTACCTAAAAAAGAGCAAAGATGATGGTGTGTTTAAAACTGGTCTCAACTTGAAATGAAATGACATTTCATTCACCTTTTTCATTTTGGAAAGCAACTGACAAGCTTTCACCTTCTTTCTACAAAAGTGGGTGCCTATACTCCCTTAGTGGACAAAAACAAACAAAAAAAACCCCTGTATAAGTCAAGCAAAGTAAATAAGCCAAAATAAGTCTTGTCAGTGGCGAGATCAGTGCCCGGGCTCCGAGCACCGTCCACCCGCGCTAACGAGGCCCCGGGAGCTCTGCTCTGCCAACAGCCCCGTTACCGCCTGTCGGCGGGGGCCCCCGGGTGTTTACCCGCCCCCCCA